GGCTAGCCAGACGACCTTGGTATGCTTTGGGGTCACGCCTGTCGGCATCGTCAAGCATGACGGGCCAACCGACGTATATATAAGAAAATTTACATGCGAATGGTGGGAGGAAAAAACGGCGACTCAATTGGAAAAGCCCGCGCAATCTAGTGAGGATGAGGTTACCGTTTTCCTCTTTCAAAAGAGGAGGCCGCCAATTTTTTCACAATTGAGTCAACTGAATTATTTAAATCTGCCAAACTCCTAACAAGCAAGATTGGCCTAGAAGGCCATCCGGTGGATCCTAAATGACTAATTAAGAAATCCTGCTTGGCAGTGAGCTTATTGCGTCCGTATTGGTGGATTCCATACGTGCAGTAAAACTGGGCAAACAAATCGACTGAAGCGTGATTAAATTCACGGCGCACGCAGAGCCTCGTACCTCTCAAATGGTGGAGCGTTTGCCACACAAAAGCCTTCCCTGCTGTGTGGGTTCGACTCCCAGCGAGACCATGCATCTTTCACAATTGGGTCAATCGAATAAATTTACTTAACTAACAACTATATACTATACTAAACTAAGTAAACTCAGCTAAACTAGACTAAAAACTTAACTTAAGTTAAACTAATAAACTAAAAACTAAACTTATACTAGCGGTCACGTAAGGCAAAATTCTGGGGCTAGTGGTATCTAACATGGGTGACCAGCTTAACTTGGCAGGGAACTATCGTGGGGTGCTTGGAAGGCCAACATGTACAATAACCGCTTAATTACAAATTTTAAGCAGGGTGACTTTTCCACAGTTTTCCAATTTTGGGCGCGCTGGCCGTTGGTTCAGTGGGGATTGATGATCATATTGAACTGCGGAGGAGTCCTCGGAAGGCCAGTATGTACAGGGTGTCCCAGAAGTAACTGAACCTTTTGATTTGCCAATAAAACGAAATATTAACGCTAGGATATTGAAACTTGTTTTATTCGAAAGAAAAAACTTTTTCATTTTTTATTAGAACTAGGTTTTGAATAAAATGTCTTTTAAATTATGTCCATGGTTGTTTTGACAACTTAGGGTTCGTTTCTTTGTCGTTTTCATAACGCTCCTTAGTGTGTCAGGCGATATTTGTCTTATTTCAGAACAAATGTTATTTTTAAGTTCTTGTAGATTTGTTGGATTTGTTACATAAATCCTTGACTTCAGGTAGCCCCATAAGA